AAATAGGGAAAAGTACAGAAATAAATGTAAAAGGGGACAATTATTCACCTTCATTTTCTCAAACAGAAGGATTAACAGAACCACTGATTTGCCTTTTGATACAAGAAAATTTCACTTCAGATTTTATTAAAAAAAAGACATTTTGCTTTCAATAGGATTTTCCTGTTGGAATTAAGTATCATTCTCTCATGTGTGTATTAAATATATCAGAAGATAAAAAAAATACCATTGCCCTTTTAAGAAAAGTCTGTGCAGAGGTTTCCTCACAGGGAGCACTTCAACAACACCTTCTGGTGTAAGAGCATTTTCTTCCTGTTCAGCACAGTTGTGCCTTGAAATAAATGCTCCTAAGACCTAATGACCTATTTATTATTTGCTGGTAAAACAAATACAAATCCAGTATATGTAGAATAGACAGTCACTGTGTTCCTTTGCTCCTCTGGTCTCTGAGCCTACCTCACTCCTGTATCTTTATTTTTTGAAGCTAATGCTTTGGCATATATTACACAAATTAAACTGACTTCTCAAGATTTTGATACAAGGGTTGCAACAACAATTCACTAATAGTACTAGAGTTCTTAAGGTGGATTCTTGAAGCCACTTATCTTGCATTCCAACCTTCTCCCTTCCACAGCCCCAAATCCTAGAACTCCTCTCCAAGGCACTGTTTGCAAAATTGCATTCTCAAGCCTAAAAGCTACACAAGGGAAGCTTTGCACTTTCCTCCCATTCTGTTCAACCACCCCACCTGAACAGCTACAATAATTTGTTCTTGTACAGTGCGTACAGAACTTAACACTGTCACAATGTGATTGTATCAAATTTAACACCAGTCAGAAAGACCTTCAGATGGTATTTGGAAAGGAAAAAAATCTGAAGTATGTTCCTTTTAAGTTTGTAAGTAAGATTTCCTGGAGGTAGCATTAAAAACCAATAGCTGTGGTCTTGGAACAACTACCTCAAAGTGCAGAATTTTCAGTACCATGAATTCAATACCCATGATCTTTAGAGAGAGAAAACTGAATTATTAAAGATACATGCTCTTTGTACAAGGACTGAGTGTTAATTTTCTAATTTCCTCTTAAATTTTTATTTAGCTAAAATGTCACTTGTTCATTAGTATTTGCTCCACTCAAAGATGGCTACGTATTTACATTTTAAGTAAGCCTTAGCAGCTAAAGAACTACAGGCAAAACAAACATATATCCTTTCTTTTGAATATTCCTTCTGAAATTCTCAATGATTCACCAAAAACCTATTTTAGACTCAATGAGATAGTTTCACACTTATCAACAGTTCTGAAATACCCAGTATCCTCTTCAAAATTTGTAAACATTAAGGCATTCTCTGTGATCTTCTCCCCTCCATACACATAGATATTGCTATTACATTTGAAGGGAGAACAATTTCTTTCCCTGTAGTCTGAGGTAGATAATGTGAGGGTGTAATTTTGAGCAGCTATATTGTAGAAATGAAAAGCTCTTCAAATAGGTTCAAGTAAAATCTTTGATCAGATTATTTTGGAGAAACTGAAAACCTGCAGAGGGAATGGTCAAAAATCAGGAGCATTCATTCCACTGTGAAAATTCTCATTACAGCATGAAACACCCAGGCACATAAGGTTCATTGAAACACCTGCTTCCTGTCTTCTCTATTTCCAACCTTGAGAGCTAGGTAAACATATCTTGGCTACATTTACTTACATATAGAAATAAATGCTTCATATCAGCAGACATTTTACATGTAAAACTAAGTAAAAGAATTGGAGTTTATTTTCCCATGCTGACAAAAAGAGAAACACATGGTTTCCTTGAGCAGAAAAACAGGCCTAACACTGCCTCCCACGGCACCTGGTACTATGCTAGTATTTTAAAATAACTGGCACTGAGCAATAGATGAAGGATGAATTTCAGGTTGGTTCACACAGAAGGTGCAGTGACTGCACTGTAAACGGGGCTGGTTCGCTCTGCTGAGATTGGTCAGTTCTCCAGGTGAACATTTCCAGATGTGAGAAGTGATAATACACACATAATTGTTACTATCAACGTAACGGTGCCTCAACTGCTAGAAAAGAAAAAACCTGCATTTTGAAGCTGCCCTGAAGGTCCATGTCCTAGACTCCCTGGAACCCAATGCATATTGTTGTCCAGCTTCAGACTAGTTGGAATCATTAGATCCATAAATAGGGAGAAACAATGCAAAGTTTCTTTTGCCTGGGGGCATGGAAATATCTAAAGCCACAAAAATCAAAGGTTTTCTTAAGATTCTTTGGATCTACATGATGTCTGCAAAGGTACTGTAGTGTATGTGGTTCCCTCCTGTATTTGAGATACACAAAAGTTAGCTTCCTTTCTCTTCAATGAGCAAACAAATGGAGAGGAGCCAGCTCTGTATCTTCTTCCAGAATTTAGATAAACAACACACAAGATGGTACAATATGCCTTGTATTCTCTTGCACTATAAAAAGCTTTTTTTTTTCCCTGTGACAGCAGACACTAACCTGCATAGGCTGCTTGTCACATAACAGCAGGAAAACCTGGGTGGATTACAAGAATCAGACTGAGGAACAATTAAAGGAACCTTTTTAACTCTGCTAGAACAATACCAACCCCAAGACAAAAAAAAAAATAAAGTCAGGACAAGCCTGCAATCAAGTTTCATTTCCATTTCACTGAGACAAGTCTGACACTTACAAGAGTATTTCATCGTTTATTGAAAGAGCACATGTTACAATACAAACCAGTTCTGCTTCTCACAAGGCAGATGCTTGCTCTTAAGACAATCCAAAACTTGTTTTTTTCTTAAACAATGGACAGATCTGAAAATCCCATTTAATTCAAAGGCAGCTCACTGCTTTGTTTACAGTACAAATAGGCACACAGCATAGATTTCTCATGTTGCAGCTCCTGAAGTGGTTCAATGGGAAGTATCCAAGTCAAATTTCAACATTTAAAGGATAAAGAATACATTTCAACATATAAAGGATAAAGGACAGACAGTGAGGGGGATACTGAAACTATGCTGAATGTACTGATAAAAATAGCATCCTCTAATTTGACAGATCCCTAAGTTCAGATTGATTGAGAGTGGATGTTGAAGTCAATCAGAGGAGTGTTAGTGTCATGCATTTCCCGCCCCCCCCATCCCCCCAAATCCACACGTCCCTAGTGAGAACTAAAGGATATTTAAGAAATCTTCACTAAGGTACAGGTGGATACAAGCCAGCTGACAAAGCACCCAGCACATCAGCACTTAGAAATGGCAATTAAGCTTACTGAGCCAGCATTCCTATCATGAATGCCACATTTCCATTAACCTGAAAGCCTTTTCCCACAGTCTTCTGTGGAAGCAGCTGAGTTACTGCTCCTTAGCTCCACTGATACAGAATTTGGAGTGAGAAGTGTGCGTTTCTGAAAGCTGCAAGGAGATCCACAGGTTCTCACATTGCTTCCTTTGTCAGATGAGACACGACACTGTAAATTGCATTCAGTTCTGAAGTGGGTCATTATTTTTATAGGATTTTTCAAAAATTATTTTTCAAGTTTCATTTCTGTAATATCCTCCTAAAAGCCAGGAAAAAAGCTGCTTCCTCTGAGCAGACTGGACTCCATTCTGACATTGACTATCCTTTTTCTTCTTTGTCAAATCATAAAACAGCAGAATAAGCAGGGTTGTTTTTCTAGCGCTGAACTAAACCAGTGGGGCAAGACAGACTGGTGGTAACCTATTGTTCCTCATCACCACCACCACCCAGGCATTTACAGGTATTTGCTCTCTGATTTTTAAGCTGAAATAAGTTGGCAAAAAACTTTTTAGTGTCTAGCATTAAAATATCAAGTAGCAGGGGTTTTTAATCTCATGTCAGTACATATAGTTGCACGGACTTAAAAATTCCTCCATGTTCAATCACGTGGTGATTTCACACAGGCAGCCACAGTCCTCAACAAAAATGGGGCACAAAATAAACAGGTTTGGTCTTCTCTCCCAACCTATCCCAAACTAACTCCATCTGGCTCACAAATCCCTACAGAATTGAGAGGATTTTCCCAAACACACACTTTTAAGAGAGTCCAAACGTTCTTGAGGATGTGGAAGAACTCGTTACTCTTGATATGCACAACAACAAAGTGCAATGTACTACTAAAACAGGATTCTAAAATAAAGGCAACAGCAAAATATTATTTGCAGCCCAAAACTCATTTTGCAATTCTGACTCAAGCTCAAAGAAAGTTTTGCTCATCTACAAGGCTTCTTTTCTTTTAGAATCAAGACCTTTTGGACATGATGCTTTATTTCCTTTGTTCAAGTGTGTGCAGAGGAAGTAGGACAGGAAACAAAAATAAGATGGAAAGTAAGCTTGAGGCACTTCCTACTCATCTACAGCTCTGCTGAAACATGCAGAAGTTAACAATTACCAGCAGGGCTGATATTTTATAAAAAATAAGCAACCTTAGGTAAATTAAAGATATTTGTGCAAAACAGCACAAACCGTTTAACTATATGGATACACCACAAAGTGGACCTATCTTACCAAATGTGGTACAGTAGCCAATTCTGGTTTTCAAGTTGCATTCAAGTTAAATTTTAAAGTAAAATAAGTCCTCAAAGCTTTAGATTGGCTTACACTTAAATACGCCAATTTTTAGAAGTCCAGTTTGGTTTTGCACATACAACTAAAATCGGGACTCTCCAATTGAAATAATACTCCAAGGTCCTAAAGCCTATTCCTGAATCATTAGTTTTTCTGTTATTTGTTTTAAACAATCTGAAGCAGAGATTGCAAGCATTTGTTTTTATAGTAAATCACCTGCAAGTACAGATCTCTTCAGATCAAAAGAGATATTAAACATTTTAGCTTGCATTTTGAGTGTGGCGAGAAGGAAAAGGAATCTTATTTTCTCCTTCAAGTGACCTTTTCCTATATTACACAAGTCTTGAATCAGGCCTTCAATCCAAGACCAGAGGCACTAACATGAGGTATCACATTAAGATGAAACAGTTCCATTCTCCTGTGTTTGAGAATTCAGCCAATTCGAAGTAGTAATCTATAAGTCTTCACAAAAGAAAAAAAAGCAAAAGCTATTTCAAGAACATCTCCCAGACTCATGGCCAAGAAAGCTGAAAACATAAAAAGAATTAGCTTTTCCAGGCTTCTTCCTGCACCAGAGTGTTGAAAAATCCTAGTTCCTTTCCACAATCTCTGTATAAAAACTATTATATTTAGAGATACACTGGGAATTAGAAAAAGCTTATTCCAAAAGTATTGCTTCATCAATATATATATATTCTGATATAAAATTCCATTCAGCCAGGTTTAACTGTCACAGCAATTTCATACCAATAATTATGAACTTAAGCAGAAGGAGAGAAGACATTCCTACTGAGGGAGTAGGACTGTTGTGACCTAGTAGCGCTTCTTAATTTCTTGATTAAAAAAAGCCACATATCTTGTCAGCCAACAACTTTTGGTTTATAGATTATTATTATCATTATTAAAGAATTTTAGTTAAAAGCAGAAAATATTGTTCTGAAGAGCCAGATCAATTTAAAAAAAGATGGTCAGTTTCCTTATTGCTAAGAAAAGGTCACAAGAAACATTCAATGCTATAAACTAAATTCCTCTTTTGATTGTCTACATAAAACACAGGAGGAAGTAGCACTTTGTAAGTTTCAGACAATATTTTCAGCATTAGAAAAATACTCCAAGACACACACCAAAAAAAAAACAAAAAAAAAACAAAACACCTGGTAAATGAGCTAGCAGGGGGGTTCTCCCCTCTGCGTCCCTCCCTCCAAGTCTCCTACTCTACAAATAAAGTTCTTACAATTTTTTTCAGAATGTTCTTCCAATCAACATTGTTAAAACTTCAAAAGTCACATGCAAACTGAGCGGGCTGAAGGGCCGGTACCTTGTCTGTGTGTGTCCAACTACTCAAATTCTACCTGGCCAAACAAAACCCAAATACATCAGCAAACTCTGGCTGGTTCTTAATAATAAGCCAGATTTGCCCCCACTTCCCTCCTCCCCCAGACTACTCTTGGCCAACTAATCATACTGTAGTTTCTCTGCCCGCTTTGAGGTTGGGTGCTGAGAACTGGCGCCTCATCCGCGGGGGCGTCACAAACTGGTTATAGTGGTTGAGCCGGTCAGTCTGTTTGGGGTGGGCGTTGGCTGCAGCGCCCTCCGCACCCCCTGCCTGGCTGTGGTTGCAGTAGGGCTGTCGGTGCTGGTGGATGTGGCGTTTTTGCTGGAAAGTCTGCAGGTCTGGGTTCTGCTGCCCGCTGTAGGAGTGCAAGGATTCCGAGGAGCCCGAGGCCTGGCGCCGCAGGCCTTTCTGAGAGCCGCTATTGAGGGAGTTGCTTCTCCAGCGCAGCTGAGGCGACGGCTGCTGCTGATTGCTGGGCTGGGGCTGGGTGTTCAACTGCTGCCTGTTAATTTGGATATTATCTTGACCCCTCTGGGGGCCATAGAGATTCCACAGCTGCTGAGGGTCTTTAGAAGCAGCTCTGCTTTCTTTCTCTTTGTTTTCATCTTTGTTCTTATCGTCTTCTTTTGGAATTCTAACCTCTATCACTTCATCCTCTGTGATAATTATATGGGTGCCTGGACTCCACGAGTTCCTGTGTTTGGGATTGCTTTTGAAAGGGAAGCGGGGCTTGCGATTTTCAGGTGGGATAAATCTGTGGGGCATGTTTTGCCGACGAAGCTGTTTCGCTATTTCCTGCTGCTGCAGGTTTTTAAATCGAATCTGTTCTTGCCTCATCCAACGTAATCGCCCACGTCTGAAAGCTGGATCACCTGCCATTAACTGAGAAACACGCTCCTCTTTAGCAAGATCATCATTCTCGCTTCTTTTTAAGTCATCTGTGGGCTTCTTATCCACATCCAGCCCAGTGGCAGAGTTTGGAGACTTAGCATTAGCTCCAGTTGACTGGGCTTTCTCTGGAGACCCTATCAGAGGTAAAACCTTCTCCATTTTTAACATCTTATTTCTAAGAACCTTTATCTCTTCATCCTTCATGTTGTTCTGCTTCTTCACTTCTTGCAAAATATCTTCCAATTTGTCTATATGCACCTTAAGGTCATCCACGTCAGTTATTCCTTTACCATTGGCCATAACATCTTCAATTTTCTCATCTCCAACTCCTACTGTATCCCAGACATCCCGAGCAACAGCTCGCCACGATTCACGCTCATTGGGATCTTTTTTCCCATACATGGCACAAAGCTCTTTCATTTTAACAATGGCCAAAGCCTCAATCTCCTGCCTAGTGTGCCTGAAGTCATTGAGTGCTACCTCATAGCATATCTCTTTCACAGCCTGAATCTTTAGGTCTGAGATGGTAACCCATTTGGAGTCTTTGCTAAGGCGTCGACGTTGGGGTATCTGGTACATTTTAATAGGCTCTCGTTTCTTCCCACTGCTGGGGAGGCCACACTTTTTTACAATGGTTTGGAGCTTGCTGGGGGGAAGCTTCTCTCTCAGGGAAGTGATCAGTCTCCAACTCTCCTCACACGATCTCTTGTCCGAATCATCCCCACTATCAGAGTCTGCATCCTTTGGAAAAACAAAAATCAAGAAGTGGCCCCAAAATAACCAAAATTAAAATTGTAAGAAAATGGAAAAGCTAAACAAGAAGTAGCAGGCAAAGAAAACTAAATCAAAAATCAAAACAGAACAAGTGATAAGAAGTCCCTGACAACTGAGGGTTAGGACATTCAAATGTATCTTCCAGAGTCATGAACTGTCAAAATTGGAGCTCTTCACTAATAAAAGATTTACATTGTATTTTAAATCCTGTAATTTCAAAAGAGCAGATAACCTAAACTCCTCCCTCCCAATCCTTTCCAAGATCTTTAAACAGATCAACTAAAACCAAGTTCCTGATTTAAAAAAAATTAAAATCCAAGTGTAAACTGCACTTCACACATGCTACAGACATGCAAATTCCCGCCACACACATTTGCCTTGGTGACTGCTGTTGCTTCTTTCAGCAAATCCTCCCCAGGTAGGCGAACACAACAGCCATCATAGAAGATGTCAAGAGCAGCCAGAGTAAGTTGGGTTAACACTGGTTAGTAACGTTGCACGTAGTTGCAGGGATGCTCAAGTTTAGAATCCAATTCACTACAACAGCAGCCAGAGAAGTGTTAGACGATAAGAAAAAATGAAACAGAAGCAGCTGAAAGGTTCAATGTTAAAAGGACTGTAAGTGCCACTATGACAGGTGAAGACAGTGGTTCATACTCCAAGACTTGCTACAAGCTAAAAGGATATCCAGAACCAGAGTTTCAGGTGGGTTGTAGTTTGGGTTTATTTCCCCATTTGTCACTTTGTTGCTTAGTTGAAAGAAAAAAATCATTAATGGTCTTGTTTGTCCGAAGAGCGAGTTTCAGAAGAATGTAGCAGTAATGATTTTATTTTAATTGTTTTAATACGAATTCTCTATTTGATATCCTTGATTTGTCCTCTTCTCAAACCCTAGAGCTTCCACACACTTGCTAAAGAATTCTTTTGAGTGTTTTGCTTCTTTATTACAGGTTTTCCACCTTTTGCTAAATGAATTTTAATGAGCAGTGCTTCAGATTTCCATATGCTAGGAATGTCTGTTCAGGTATACTGCCACCAGAAGGTAAGGATACCCATTATTGCTTACTGCAACCAGGAATTAAAGTCAGCCTACTTTTCTTTAAAGTATTATTAATTTAAGACATCTCTTCAACAAAAAGTCCTACATCTTACTGTCACCCAAACATCAGCAACACACAGCAATTGGTCTCTAACAAACCTCTATCTACAGTCTTTGTTTTCCATATAGAGAACTATACTACATGAGAAATCAAGAACAGTAACAGCCAGTGTTTCTTAAACCAAAGGAAACTCAGGTTATAGACTCAGAACCACAGGTTCCTAGACTTAAGGCTTTGGGTAGAAGACCACAAAGAATTGGGAATACAACATAATTTGTTTTAGAAACGATAGGAGTAAAAGAAATACTGTTCTGCCCCGTGGTCAACAAGCTCCATAGCCCAAGATTCACATCATTGAGCTTCTTGTGACCTTATGTATTTTTAAATACTGAAGGATAGAACTGGAGAACCGACTTCTCCTAGTTTAGGCCAAAATACAAGCTAAGCAGTGGTTTAGAAGAAGAACAAACTCTTTGTGAGTTCACAGCTGACAAAATTTGTGGCCTAAGGAAACAAGCTGACAACCTGCATATTGCAGTGGAAGCAAAAGATGCCCTAGAGGTCGACACTGTACAATCTACACATTGGTCCAGAATGGCAATACATGAACTACTCAAAGTCACAAGTTCCAGAGGATTATTCTTTTGGATTACAAAACAACCATATTACTACCCACAGGTAAAGCATGTCTTGCCTATGGAAAGCTGATGAAGAGACACTATATGGTCACTGCCCTTTGTGCACTGAGGCATTAAGCAGGCCAGTCACTATAGGTGTATCCCCACATGCTAATATCAAGTAGTCACTGCAAAGGAATTAGGACCAAGAAAACCAGGCAGATCATTTTAGCTCTGTTAAACAAATTTTCATAATCAATCTGTAAAATGCAGAATGATTACTTCTATTCCCTAATAACACTAACAAGGCAAATTTATATTGGTTGTGAATCTGGGGAGACAAGCGCTATTACATTTTTGGATAGCACATCTAACAAATAAATACCCAGATTGGTTGGAATCTCAGCACAAAAATAAGCCATTCTGTTAAACAGATCAGCCATCTTTTTATATCCAAGATCATACTCCAATTTAGAAGAATATTTATATTTCAATATCATTCTTACACAGCAGTAAGTTAGGGAACCTGATATCGCAGCAATGTAAATGCTTTTAAGGTGCAGAGGCTAAATGCATTCCTAAATTTCCAATCATTATTCAGATAATGTCATATGAATGCACTAATCCTGTCCATTCCAGACTGCATCCAGTGACACAGAAGTGATGAGATGTGTCAAGAAGTTTTGCTGTCACCTGAAATATTCTCATTAAACATGGCAAAAAGCAGGATACTGCTTAACAGACCAATGATCTCATGATACCACCAGCTAGGAAAGGTGTCCTTCAGGAATTACACTGGTAATGCATGTAGGACAGTCTTCCACCTTTGCCTACTAATTGAAATCAGCAAGAACAGAAAAAGCTTGAAGAACTCAGCAACCTTTTTACAGCATTAGACAACACCCTGTCTCAAGAACCTTCCCTTAGTCTTAAGCATACAGGGAAACTAATTCCCTTCACAACACTTACTATAAATGCAGCCTCCTTTGAACCAGCTCCCCAGACAGCCACTTCTCACAATTCCCTTGAATTCATACAATAGCTCAGCTTATGCCTGTCAGCTAAATTTAAGGGAGGGAATCCCATTGCTTACATTTCCTTTGACAAACAGCCAAAACTCACTCAACACTCAACCTGTTTTTCTGTGCACATTGAGCTGATTTTTGCCTTATCACTTCCAGCTACACGGATTTTAACTATAACAATTGCAGAGATGAAAGATGACATTAGTCACATCTTGTCACATCCTAACTTCCTTTCTGAACTAAGTCTTGCTTTTGGTCAAAGTCTGCAACAACTCCTCTCTATCCAAGAAATCAATCCCTTGTGATGAAATAACCAGAGATGCAGAAGTCTATGTATTTAAAATAAATTTGTAAAGAATATGTAGGTTCTACCTACAGAAGCCACAGTACTTTGCTCCATTCTGCTTTTGGGAGAACGGGAAGATCTTTGCAGTTTAAAACCCAGCATAAATTTAACCCACAGTTTTCAGTGGTCTCAAACTAAAACTATAAACAAATGAATCAGGATTTTGAAGTTTTTATTACAATTCAGGCACAACTACATTTGCATTCTGGCTAAAAGACAATCCAATATAATTACAGTAACATCAGGAGACTCAGGTTTCTGAAGGAAATCTAGTTTTTATTTCTGGACTTTGTCTTTTTCTTAAAACTCACAGGGTGCTTGAAGACTGCATGCATTTCTCTTAGAAAATGCACTTCAGAAGACATCTGATGTGAGAAGACTGAAGTCTTCCTCTATCACACTTATCAGACTTCCTATTTATGAAACAGGTGGAATTGTGGAACTCCCATTGTTCTGAATGAGTTAACATGCTCTTTACACTCTGCTCCCTGCTCATAACCCCACCAACATGTGCACCATTAAGACCCTTACAAGGAACTCCATGCAGGGGGAGGGAGAAGGGTTAAAACATGCACAATGCAGCAACATTTTCAGACATCATTCAAAAAAATAAACCTAGTGTATCAATGTTCTAGAAATCTCTTTGGCAGCACAAAATTAGTATGTTCTGGTGATCAAAGACAAAAATAAAGGCTAACATCCCAAGAAGTAGATGTTTAGACTACTGAAAAGGAACTTCAAAAAACACAGAGCATAAAAATGCCCTTCCTTCAGGTTAAGTTGCAAGAAATTCAACCTGTCCCAACAAGAACTGATTAAAGCCACTTCATTTTCCAATCTCTGAATTAACATGAAGGAGCTTACTCACACTGGTAATAATTCACTGTGGACATAAAGTATTTGAAAGGAAGGGGAGAACTGCATTGTGCAGACAACCCAAGCAGGTTTCCTAAACTTTCAGATAAGCAAGGACAGGAATTACTGTTTGCCAAAGGTATAGTTAATCTGAAGAAAGGACACATACCAGCCTTTGCTGCTCCAACAACAGATCAGCTTCCTCCTTCTCCTTCTTATACAAGATCTCCATTTCTTGTAATCTGAAGGTGAACAAAAGAACAGAAGTAGCCAAAGAGGTCAGTGTATTCATTTTGGTATTCTGCCACATGCACAGCCCACTGAACTACAGTGAAGAGAGCAAAAGTCATTAAATTTAAAAGTAGCTATTATTTGTCTATAATAGTACTTAACAAGTGAAACTTCTGAGGTGCAGTTCATGCCCTTCACCAAAGAGCTGTAGGGTTATGACAGGTGCTTACCTGGGATTTTTAAAAGAGGTAGGTAGAGCAGGTAAACACCTTAGTAAAACAATGAGGAACCTTTCTGAGCTTTCACAATAGGTAGCAGAGATGCTGTGTGGCGAAACCTAACTTTAAGTTTTGCACAGACACCACCCAAGTAACCTACAGCTGACTCCTCCTTGCTTCAGGTAGAATTTGAGTTATTTTGTTACCTTTTTTCCATCTCCTGCTTCATGTCAATGCCCTGCTTTTCCAGAAGCTCTCTCTGAGCAAATGTCCAGTCAACTGGCTCAGAGGGAGTCTCAGCTGATGGTGTTTTCTCTCTTTCTGCTCGTGCTTGCTCTGGATGGTTGAATCTGAAGACATGATTTTTACCCATAATGATACGATTTCCTAAAAACAGGAACAGAAATTAACTCTTTCAGGCAAGGATTCCAAAATCATTGAAAGAAATCACTGAATGATTCATCCCATTTATCCTGTTAGGTCACAGAGCA